AAAGTACCGATGCCGGTGGCGGTGGCGGTGTGAACCGCGATAAACTAGAACTGTTCATGTGTACCGTTGAACACAATTCTATTGAGGAATTTTGCAGAGCGTATGAAGAATAATACTTGGAGTGTATTTTATCACGGTCAATAGAACACACATTCTTATTAATTACTTTAGTTTGTATAAAAAGTAAAATAGTACAGCAAATAGTAAAACAAGCAAACTAGAGAAAACTCCAGTCTATTCTTCAGAGCCATCTTCATACCATGAGAGTTGGAGCGTCCAAAATTGAAATAATCTGATACACAGGTCCGAAAAATCCACTTTTCAAATTTTCCACACACAGAAATGAACTTTTCAACTTGTGCAAAACACATCTGTATTGTGAGGGAAGGTAGGCAAGACTACAATAGCCCCCACCTCACCCCCCGAATGCATAAGTACATGTGCACGAGGCTGGATTGTTGCAGTTTTTTATTATACATCTTAAAGTGATGAACAGCAGTGGACAGGGAAAGCCCCATAGTCACGAGGATTTATTGTTCAATGATGGAAACCGGCAACCCAAGCCCCGCGGGACTTGGAGTGGCGAACCACATAAGGCCCAGATAGGTTGTGTGTTATTGAACCGGATGACAGACAGAGCTGCCTACCAGCAAAGTTGCGCGGGGATGGTGAGGCTCGAACCTTGAACCTCAAGATCCAAAGCACGACAGTGATAGCGACTAAACTACTGTGACACCAACACTGATAAATCGACCAATCCCAGAGTTCTGTTATCACACAACTCACAAGAGCCGGGACAGAGGTGGGACAACCGGTGGATGAAATTTTTTATAACTGCGCCAGCACGTGCAGCACGGGGGGAAATTCACAAATGGGTGAGTGAGAAAATTTTTTTAGTGTGGATGAATGTTTTGTCCTGCGAACCACACTAGTTTCCCAAATGGGCGGCATGCAGTCAAACCGGGGGTATTTTTATGCCAGTGCCTAACTTTACGTAAACGTTCAATGACCTCAAACAAGCAAAATCATCCCGCGGTCACGTTCATGATCGACCGTGTCCTTTATTCGTATTGTTGATCAAGACTCGAGTAACCCATATACACGTTTCACGCGAAACGAGAGAGACGGGGGGGGGTGAGTGGCGGGAAAGTTGTAATAAAACTTCGTACACATGTTTTAGTACTATATCAAAAACAAGTAAACCATACAAAACCCCCCAACGCATGAGTCGAGTGTTTGTACACACATTGTGGCAGCTTAATAGGTTCAATCATAGACTAGTGTGACGATATGACCATGGTACGCACCGAGTGAGACCAGTGAATGTGCTCAGTGTTTGCGTAATTTCATAGCACTGATGGAGAAGTCCGATAGAGAAGAAGCAGGATTTCTGGGTGATGCAATACAAGCCCTCGGTAATTTAGAGAGAGATTATAGAATGTATCACCCCTCACTGGTGGGTAATTGGGAGAGACGAAGATTGAAAAGCTGATCCACTTCACCCGTGTCTGTCTGTCTGATTTACAGTTGACGGCACTAGGTGACTTAATGCAGAGTCATGCACCGGGAGATTTATGCATTGCATCAACTTATTTGTCCCCAATGGATTTTATCACCCATGACGGCTTACGTTTTGCTGTATACAGATCAACCCTTCATGGATCCTCGACGCCCCTCTCCCTCCGCACACACACACACACACACACACACACACACACACACACACACACACTTGTTTCTAGAATGGACTGACAAAACACTCAGAACGTTAAGATTAACGACTGTTCAAATTTGATCCAACGAAAACATTGCGACGGGAGGGAATATCATTCGGTACTTCCTACTGGATGGTTTACATTTCTTCATACATTGTATAGCATCACAAAAGTAATGTGAGTGATCTCACCATATTTGAGGTTGATTCATTTAGGTGTGTTCGTCAAACACGTTGTAATTGTAAAATGCCTATTGATAGTCAGTACTCATGAAGCAGGCAGGACGCGATTCCCTTTTTCGGACTTTTATCGCTTGCAGCCTATTGTTTGGATTGGCTAATTCAGAGACAACAGACATCCTTCATGGTATTGGGGCGTGGATTTCATTCCTTCGGAGGTCGAGTTGAATGCATTTATATAAGTAAGCGATGGAAATATTTGATACTCTAAATTAATTGAACCATTCGCACAAGGTAGTGACCGTGGCCAGTGTAGCCAAGCAAGTTTGTGGTTCGAGTCCCGACACGGGGACAGAAAAAGTACGCGCATTGCTGACGAGTCCGCAAAACAGGACGAAAACGTTCTGTCCCTTGCGCTATTTGTTTCTGTCATCAGACAAGTATTTCCATTGTTTAGAGCTTTTATTTTTGACGCGCTTTCCATGACAAATCAACAAGAATCAGCTCGACCTGACAGATAAACAAACACTGAACTAAGCGATATTTCGAACAGATAGAAAATAAAACAAGGATACAAATATAGATTCATTTGTATTTTTCCGATAGCTTCACCCTAACCCGAGCACTGGAAAGAGATACTAACACATAACAAATAGAACAAATAAGATGAAACGTAAACCCAACGGGTGTGGAGAACAGAATCTAACTGAAGATGAAAACTAATCACCGGAAAAATATGCGTCTNGCGTCTTTAAGCGGAGCAGGAGCCAGCCCCAAACCACCAGAAATGACATGCGCCGGATTCGCGTGAACAGGACCAGGCAAATAATCAATAATAATTCCAACCAAACGTGACTCCCCCACCGGAATCGAAATCGTTTAACCAAACAAGGGGACCCAGACAGATGCAGTTCAAGCCGCAGAGAAATAGTTCTACGATAATTTAAAAATAAGGAAAATTTCCGGCCAAAACTCACCTCAGCCCCGGTACAAAACTCGGGCAAATCGCACAAATCTCGAGCTGATCGACATTGTTTACCCCGGACAGCCAACTGGCAACGATCACAACAAGCACCGTGTGTGCAAACCGCACCGACATCGGCCAAACAGGTGATCGGGTTGCAACATGGAAGCAAATCGCTGGTGTTCACACGCGCGCCCGTGCGAGACCGAGTATCTTTTATCGAAGTCCCACCCGTGGTGCTCGAGATCAGACTGGACGGATCGCACTCTTCACCACGATCCAGCTGCCCGTTGCCGCACGTGTCCGACCAGAAACGTGCAGCTTCCTGCGACCCGGATAGTAGAAGAATAGAAAATTAGGATGGAAGTTATTAATTCAAAAGAAGTGTTACTCAGCTTTCATTGGAAATTGGGGGTGGGTGGGTGGGAGTGGAGAATAAACGATACTGATTTGAACTGACCATCCATCAGACTTCACATTCCCGCACAATCCTCAGCTCTTCCATACACACTCGAAAGTGCTAGGCTCAAGTTTCGCTCTCCCCAGAGCTTGACTGTAGTGCACATCTACTGTCGCACTGTCCGGACTTTGAACGCTGGACCCATAGTATCGAAGGCGTGCGTGTTACACCATTGCACCAACCACCTCAAACCGTAGCTGATTAGAATTGCCAATTCATGTTTGTTCTGGGTATCGTCTTTTCAGTGATAGTCAGTTCATTGTTGACCCGACAGCAACGAATGGGGGACACAATTAACTATCTGTCAATTTCAATCGAAAATTGGTACTTTCAACTGAATGCACTATTGTTAGCCTCGATAAAAAATTGACTGAGGAAGGGTAGAACAACACACCAAGTCGGAATTTTCTAGGGAAACTAGTAAATTCATTACAATGACCAACTCATCATTCACTGGTATTCTTCTACCTATCGATCTGATCGTTTTGTGATCACTGATTTGTGAATGTTACACTCGGATTGCACAGGGAACCGACCCAGTACATGACGTATGAACTTGTACAATGTTACTTGCTCTTTAACGGAATGGTTCTTGAATTAAGCAATCCCAGTCCCTCGTGAGACCTCATTCGTGAGGAACAATGCAATGCTCTCATAAAGATTGCATTCCTTTGAGCACCTGCTAAGGAAGTCCCGGGGAGTGAATCTCTCTTTCTTCCATTCACCCCACCCCACCCCATCCATTTCCTTTATAAGATGATGAAATAGTGCACCAAATGATTTTCGCGCGCTCCTTTTGTTCCGTAACTACTAGCGGACGAGTAGTATTGTAAAACTTGGTGTAAATGGGTACGTATTCTATTATCCCAATACTGTGGTGGATTTGTATACTGATTTGAGTTAGTCAAATTGATTTCATCTTTGGGAAAGTGCATGAGGGATGCGAAATACCTTGCCAACAACCAATTGGTGACCAATAAAAGACATCGATCGAACTGGAAAAAGAAAAAAAAAAACATCATTCTGACATGCTTAAAACAAAATTTCAGATCGCTTTAGCTTCAACCTTCTGCCATTCTAAGAGGATACTAAACTCCAATTCGCTGAAGATTTTTCTCCCCAGCAAACTTAAACTAGTATCACCAGGGTTCAGAACAGGACGGTGAGCGAGCAATTTCGCGATATTTATGGAGTCTACAGAGAAAAGGAACACATTGCAGTGACACTGGCGGTATGCATCTGCAAGGCAAAGTTCGTCGAAGTCGTTCGAGTTACCACCAACTATCAGGCTCTTTCATGCAACATTAGATCGGATATGAATTTTCACCAACTGACTCGATCTGCAAGCTAAATTTCACTTCTCCGAAGGATTACTCTCCCTCTCTCTCTCTCGCGCGCGCGTGCAGCCCCATATCCTTAATACATTATTTTTTTTCAATCATGTGTTGTACATGGCAAACGCCAGCATGTCATTTCAAAGGCCCTGTGAAGCAATTGTGACTGGGTTAGATGAAGTAATCAGAATTCACCGCGTTGATCTACATGGATGTTTTTTCCCCTGACACAGAAAATTGTTTTAATTCCCGGAATATACCGGCGACACACATTGACTGAAAAACGCAGTTTAGCAAAAAATCGCTGTTCAAATTCTTCAAAAAGTTGGGGATAACTGTCCTTGATCAGTGAGTTATTCCGCTAATCGTTTGTGTGGGGTATTTGCATGCATATACTATTTCTCCCTGTTCCATATCAAATGACTCTCAAACCGACAGTATGCTCCTGTCCGCGTTGATGAAACGATACAATCCGTAAGGTGTTTTGGCAATGCACTGCACTGTACCAACCTCGTTCCAAAACCATTCACAATATGAAACTAACTCAGTAACATACAAACAAGGAGTATCATCCCAGGCAATAGCTGTATAAATGTGTGGGTTTATTTTGCCGACCATGTTCAACGGGTATGATGTGTGTGTTTCTGTTTCTGTTTTCAATTTCAGTCAAATTCAAGTCACGTGGGTGAATAAAAGCCATTGTGACATACCTGATGTGTTGCAGGTATCAAACAATCTGCCATGCTGGATACCAAAGCAAGTCGGATTCGAGCTTTGTCACCCTCGGAGAATAGATCNGGGAGGAAGACAATAAACAATTTAGAAACCCGTTTGATTGAACGCCATTCATTCGAATCGATTCGATTCTATGGTCATGTGTGTGTGTGTGTATGTGTATACGAGGGTTTGGGAAGGGGACCCAAATCGCATCAAGCAACAAAGAAAACGAGAGGTTCGCGCAAAAAATGAAAATATTCCAGAAAAATGGAATAAACACAAAAGGACTGTTATAAACCATCTAATATGGT